TACTGGTAGTACTTGAGTATTTTCGAAGAAAACATACATTTGTGGCAAGAATGATAGAAGAATTTTCTGGATCGCGCATTTGGGTATCTGAAAAAAACTAAGGGCAGGAATGTAGTGGAGCGATGAAGAGAGTGACGAGCAAAACGTACTTTCAACTAAAATGCTGATATACATACCTAAGTACATATGTATGTATGTGCATAGATACGTATGTGCATAGATATGGATGTGCATAGATACGTACATATGTGCATAGATACGTATGTGCATAGATACGTATGTGCATAGATACGTATGTGCATAGATACGTATGTGCATAGATACATATATATGTAAGTGTCCGCATATATTTTTTCTCGTCACTTGTTCTGTCGCTTCACTGCAGCAAAACCAAGTTGTGGGGAAAACCCTGACGATATGTGTACAATTGAAACCATGGGTTCATATTAAATATATTTATGTATGCATGGACATACATATGTACATATGTTAAAATGTAGTTTCGATTTAAAAAAATCGGATGAAGTTTTTCTTTCGCCATTCATACACCTCTAATTTCAGTATTTATTAAAAAAACTCAATGAAATTCAAAAACTCTATCTTGCATTTGGGTTTACTCAATACCAATTTGAGCTGTCGCAGTGTTATCAAAAAAAAAAGTTATCAATAGGTAGGTTCAGAAGGCGCAGCAGTTGAGCGCAACCGTTGCTAAACAAAAATCAGTAATCGTTATGCGTCTTTTGAACGACTTCATACATTAGCTGTCAAATTCAACTCTCAAAGGTACACACCAACATGTTGTCTCAAATGATCTGAAAAATATTACGATCATCTAACACGCAACTATTCAGTTGATCAGAAGTACGCAACAACGCGTTCAGAAGGTGCAATCGCACCAGTTACTGAGCTGTTTCGCCTTCTGAACGTGCCAAATGAAAATTCGTTTCTCTTGAAATCAAGTTATATGGCTGCGTATGTATGTACATATGTATGTACATATTCCGAAATTTTTTTTATTTGTAAAGGCTCTCAAGAAAAACTAAAAATTCATATAAAATTACGCACAATAAATGGAAAATAAATTTTCTTCTATAAAAAATTTCTTAAATCAGTATGCAGCTCTTAAGAAAAAAATGCTGGTACATCTCGTCGCTACCATGTCCAACTATCGAATGTGAAAATCGGCACTTTTCAAAATTTTGATTTGCCACTAATAATTTTATTTCGTATAGCAGCATTGCTTAAGATATTGTTTTTGACAACTTATTTGTTGGTTAATGACTGCAAATAGTTTTATAGAAAATTAGAGACGAGAAATAATACTTTCATAAAAATTTAAGTACATACATAGATTTAAAAAGCTGCTTGAATACAAAAGTTTTATGAAAATGTCACATTAAACAACTGTCTAAATCTACGTTATTTTTTATAAATAAGGCCGTAAACATTTCCTTACATCGTCGATTTCCATATTCTATTTTTACTCTTTCAATTTCACTGACCAGCGCTGCAAACGATATCAACTAGTAGGCTAACAACCAGAATTGAAATTTAATACGCAAGTACTTACCGTACTACAAGTATACAGAGAGTAGATTTGCTACTCCCTTTTGGCAGCAGCAAATATCTCTCGTACGCGATGAGGGAAAGTAGAGTACGTACTTTGGTGGAGTAATAGCAAGTACGTCAAGTATTTACTCTCTCAACGCCAAGTAGTGTATGTATGCGGAAAAAAAGTAACAATGTGTTGGGAGTAGAGTACAATGCAAGGAGTACTTATTGAATGAAATGCGGCAAATACAATTGCGCTGGACTCTAATACATATGTATATACAAAAATTGGTATTCATTGTGAAATATGTCCTATGTCCTTAATTTTACTTTTTGCTCTTTTGCCAGATTAAAAGATAAAAATATTCATATTCCCCAATTCCCAAAGCATACGTTCAGTACCACTGCCACGTAGCAACGAACTTGTGCAGCAGCCAAAATCCAATGTAGAGTAATATCGTCAGCGACAGTGGATACTCGTTCGTGTTCATTGCTGGATGACTGCTACAAATGAAAACAAAATTAAACACGAATGACAGAGATATTCGGACGCACTTTGTTGCAATTGCTACTCCTCAACCCCTCGAATCAATCCCCGAGGATCAATTACCTTGTTAGCTGGAAATTCAATTTGAAAACATGTTTCGATTGCTTCTCCCAACAATTTCGTGGGCAAACACCCTCTCGACATCGCACAAATGCATAGCCATTTAACACTTGTGTCGTGTATTTGTTTGCTGGGCTTAAACATAAATATGCTCATGCATACATATCTACCTACATACATACATATCTACAAACAAAGGTGTGTGTTTTGCTGGATTCATTTGTTGTGTGCTGTTACAATCAAAATTGTTTGCTGTTACAATCAAAATTGTTTGCAAATACAAATATTATTGCGTAACTTTGCTACATATGTATATATGTATGTATATGTCCGCATGATTAGTTTTAATAGATTTTATAAAAAATGATTAAAAAAAATAATCAAAAGTTAAAACAAAATAGCTACTTATGTACATGTATTGTATGCAAATAATATTTATTTCCGAAGCTATGTAAAAATGCTATGAATTTACTATTTCTTCTTGGTAAGTAAAAAGCTAATTAACCTCCAAGCTTATTCCGCAAACTTATCGTAAGTATGTATTTGTACATTTGTAAGTATGTATTAAGATATTTGCTTCTGGTACCATCTGTTTATCAACATACTTATATGTATGTATGTATGTATGTATGTATATCCATTTTCGTTGAACATTTGCCTACGCTTATTTACACTCCAACACAATGAATGCATTTATCACGCAGCGTGAGTTATGAACGTAACAATGAGGAATACCAAATACACCCCTGATAATTTTTTGATGTAACCAAAGTTGGTGTTTATAAATATTTGATAAGGGCTCTGGCTTGTTATGCAATAGGCTATTTACATAACGACACTATAGGGAAGGAAGAGAAGTCGGCTTAGAAATGAAGCGATAATAAAGGTCTTCAAGTTTAAGCGAATAAAACAAAACAAAAAACATCAAGATTGTTACTGCTTTTAAGGGTAGTTGCAAAGGAATATGTTAGTTCTACCAAATATTACTGTTTTAAAGATTTGCTGAAGTATTTAAACAAAGGAAGTCAATAAAAATATTTCAAATGCAAATATAAAATATTTATGTAGCAATAGCCGAAAATAGGCAAAACAAAGCTTAAAGCTTAAAGCTTAATAAAAATAAATTTTAGTTAAATATAAACATGAAATTTAATTTATTTCATTATTTTGCCAAATCGTGGTTGCAATATTTTAATCCAGACAATAAGCTTTGTACGTGCCAAATTTCATGGAATTCGGGCCAGAAATACGATTCTTTCGAATCTCTTCAAAATTATTTAGCAAATTAAGCTCTCTTAAACCTTAATTCGTTTGAGAAATGTATTGCAATTTTTAATCGACCTTATTACTTATTGTAACTTTTTAGCTGATGACATCCGTTTTAAAAAATTTGCCTATTTTCCAATCCTTCTATCTGCGTGTAAAATTTTATACAAATCCGTTCACAAAGTTCAAACTCACAAAAAAAAATTCGAAACTATGGGCCAAATATAGTAAAACTGCGTTATTAGGTTTTCTCTCTCACTTCAGAGTTTTTTAAAAAGGACTTTATAGTTTCAAATTAATCATAATTCCAAAACTATTTAAAACAAAAAAATCAGTGCAATATAGAAATACAATATGGGTGCTAAATGAAAGGAAAATTCTGTTCACAAGAACGAAAAGATACCTAGGGAAAATGCCTAGTAAAGTTGGAAGGACGAGGATTTGGTCGAGTGTATGTTAGTCCTTAACATATAGTTTTTGCAAAAGTAAGTATTGCAAAATTTCAAGGATATTCAAGGATAAAATTTTAAAATACATTTTCAAACCGTACTCGTCCTTATGCACCAAAAGATTTCATCTGCTTTTATTCTACAGAGTTTTCTTATTAAGTTGATACACATTTTTCTATATTGCAATGCATTTTTTAAATAACAATAAGGTAATAAAATTTTTGTAAAAGAGTTGACTTCTTTTGCATTTTTATAATACATGCATAGAATACAATATTGACGGCTGAGTGGAAGATCGACCCATCTCGGCAGCTCGGATGCCCTAGCTCAGAAAATGGCTCAAGAACGGCCTACTTCAGAATTTGCTTCAAAAACGCCATATCTCAACAGATAGATAATATACTTACATATTGAAAATGCTTTGAGATAGAGCCCTTTTGAAACAGTAGCTGAAATAGGTCGTTATTCAACCGAATTCTGAAGGACTCTTTTCGAAGTCGAAAATTATGAACGCTCTTCCGTTATATTATTTCGGTTTTCACTACATAAAAAAATACTTTGTTTTTGAAGTTATATACATACCTCTATAAACTTTTCTGTGTTAACATTTATTTAGTGGACGTTTTATTCAATCGCCCTCGCATAAAAATATGGAGTCCTGAGAAATCTGTGTTGTAAATTTGTAAAACAAAAAAATTAAATTGTGTAAAAAATTAAATTTCACATTGGCGATACCTTCTCTTTTGTCTATTAATTCCGTAATTACAACATTATGAATTTCGAGCTTATGATTTTGGTTTTAAAACCACTCATGCTCATACGTGTTTATGTATAGCCGTAGTTGCGTATGTAACGTATACGCTCCGTAGCACCAAAACAAGTCATCTCGCACGCCTTAACTTAAAAGCCATATTATTTCTACATACCATTTCTTATACGCATATGTATGTGTGTATAAATTCCCAGTGGGAATTAGGAGCACGTAATAATACCTTATTAGCAACTTACTCTTCATCTGGCAGTCATT